CTGAATGGCCTTTATATATACTCATTTTCGTGGAAACATTATCCTCTAGATAAATTATTCTTTTCCCTTCATGGTGCTTGTCTCATCTGTAATTATAGATAGAATTTGTACCTCTTCTTGGCTTTTTTTTTTTGCTAGACTAACTAAATGAAGTATTTTTCCTACTCTGCAGTTTCCAGTCAATAGATCACCCTTGCAGCCTTTCTCTGTAGCTGCTCTGATTTGAAATTCCTCATGTGTGTGGTTTTGACTCTTACAGTGAGAATTACATATAACATTCCAGATGTGGTCTCACTGGGGTATTGTACAATGGCACCGTGTCTTTCTGAATTGCATCTGGCCTCTTCACAGCTGTCTTACCTTGATGAACCCAGCTCTTAGGCAGCTCTGGTTTGGAATAACTGTTACACAGGTTGTTGGTACAATCTCTTTATTAAACTTGAACAATAACCCTTTTTTTCATTAATGATGTTATCTAATACTCCTTTCCTCTTGACAAAAGCATTGGCAATATAGTTGCCGTTCCCCGGTCGTTACAGAAGTGGTACTTTCTTTAAAGTTTTTACTTTAGAAAAGACAATCTTACCTGCCACTGTTTCCATAATTCTGAAAAATGGATTATTTTGGCTGCTTTAAATTTAATCATCAGTCAGTCTTTAATCATTCTTATTCTCCATTTGTTATAGTTCTCATATCTGAGACAACATAGGTAAGGATTGTGGTGGAGGTTGGGGATCAATTCCTGAATATTCTTAATTTTCATCCCCTTGTCCCTGTTTAGTATGCACATTTTCTTTTTTTTCTTACTTAAATACAAAAAAGCCTTAAAAGACTATAACTTTTGTATATAATAATAACCTGTTCAGGTGTAGTTTAGCTTTGCTTTTTACTAGGTACCTAAGATGTGGCTTTCTGTGCTGATTTTTTTTCTCCCTTGCCTGTCCCCTGCTATTCTTGATAGGATCTCTGCATGTTTCTGTGTCTTACTTGCTCACCGTTAATCAGTGATTGGCTTGTCGCACAAGGAGTTTTACCCCTTCAACCTGAGATACAGATCCCTAAACGTTTTAGCATCTTTGTGTTAAACACCAGGCTTCTGCTGCATTCTGGATATCTTTGCTAAACTTTGCTATCAAATAATTTGGGTGTATGACAGTGAAATTCAAAGACTGTGTTATAAACTCCTTTGGGATTTTTCATTCTTTATTTAAATAAATATCCAGTAATATATGGATTAGATTATCAGCAGCTGTTTTATAATGTCCTCATTAGTTAGTGAGAACAGTCTTGAAGTAATGGAGTCATTTACTGCTTCAGTAGCTATTTCATAAATTTATCAGCTATTAGCTCCAAGAATAACCAAGCCTTTCCACTTAAGAGTTTGATTTGTTCTCCATTTTGTGTCTGGGTAATTAGTCTCCTAAAATGATACAATTCACTTTATTTTTAGCTGATGATAAAAACTGCATCCATATCAGATACTGATGCTGGCACAAATGCCTGATTAGTAGGTCTTTAAAAGAACCTGTTTTACCTACTTCCTAACCCAGATGATTTGACCCAAGCAAATTTCTGTTCTTATTTGTTACATTTATTCCAGTTTGACAGATCTCTGACACACATTGTCCTATTCTTCATTTCTTTTTTGAATATTGTCTTTTCCTCAGTACTTGCATTCTTAGTCAACTGCTATTCCACTATGTCAAGGTTACTCTGTCACCATGTGCCAGTAGCTTAAACTTCTGACTCTCACAAACTGACATGAACAGATAATTCATGATACTCATTAAATGTACAGCTTAATTTTCATCATCCTATCACTTTGTAGATTTTATCCATTCTTCATAATTTTTAACAGTGTATCAAAACCCGGTGTGAAAAGCTCCTTGTAAAGTTTAAAATTCTCTGTGTTACTAATGCGGGCTGTATTCCAGAAGAGCTGTTTCCACAGATGCTTGAAGCTGATCTTTCAGAAAAGCTTTTTTCAAATGTTCTACCTCTTGGTTTCTAAAACCTTCCTGGTAATACTTGTCCCTGAGGTGCTCATACCTCCAGCCGTGTTTCAGGGGAACTTGAAAAAATTAAGTTAATTTGGGAGACCAGTTTGTCAGATGGTATTCCTCCTTTCTATTGCTTCTTTCCCCTTGCCTTCCTTCCCCCATTTGTTAAGTTGGCAAGTTTTCATTTTGTTATTAACATCCCATTTCAGTTTTCTGAAGTGTCTTAGTTCTTTTAAGATTTATAGTCCAAATATTTTTTGGATCCAGGAAAGTTTTCTGTGTGGCTTTATAAATGCAACCTTTTCTATTCAAAAGATTATTTTTGGTTTAATCCCACACCAATGTACTTCATTTTTTCCATACTAGATACAATTCCCTAGCATTTCTTTATTAGAATTGTGAATATTTTTTCATCATACTTTGTTTATTGTTTGCATTTTGGGAAATGTGCAACGATCCAGTATGTTTACTGTCATAATGCACAAGAAACAGGGATGATGTTGCATGTGTACTAAGTGCATCTGGAAGCACCAAACTCCTCTGTTGCTTTAATTCTTACAAGTATATTTGTCTTCTGCTATCTTGACATTGAATCCTGCACTAGTAGCCCAACTTCCAACATTTTTCTTGCACAGACTCCTGCTATTTTTTTACATGTGCTTTTAAGTCATTTCTCAATAATAAAATCCCCTCCTTTTCTATCTCCTGCTTCATTTTTGCTTTTATATCTTGCATGCTAAATCTTAGTGTATTACTGATCCTGTGCCTTCTCTCTGCTACAGGATTCCTGAACATCTTAAATGCTTGAAGACTGTTAATGTAAATTCAGTCTATCTGTAAACTGTACATAATAAGGTATATATTATGATTATTGACTCTAGAATGACTTGCAAATTCAGTGCTTCTGAATTGATTGTGTTCCATAACTTTTGTAAAGTGCTTTATGATCACAGATTTTAAAAAATTAAACTTCTGTAGGCTCTTCAAAACATAAAAAGTACTGTCTTTTACATACAGAGAAACAGGAGAGGGATTGTATAAGGTAGATTCCTGTGATTTTGGGTTTGGATTTGGAGGCAAAGGTCTTCTTTGGTGAGGGAGCTGTGTGCGTGTGTTAAGGGTAAAATAGATGGAGGGGAGCATGAGGGAAGGAGGATGTTATTTGTCATTTTTCTTCTCTCTTCAGTAAAGTGATGGACAGACCTTCATGTTTTTTTCTTGCAGTGATATAGTCACAGTTAAACTAATATCTAGAGAGTACATCTCTGCCAAATGAAATATGACTTTAAATTATCTATATAGCTCCCTGTATGCTCAAATCCAATTTACTAATAGGAAGAAAGCTAAACTATTGTAACTGATTACTTTGTTCTGCATTCTTTCAAGACATCAAGTGAGACTGCATATGACTGTATTTACCTGGCTTATCTACAGGTACTCATTTTCTTAAACTAACTCAGTGACCTGCCTTTCGTTTCCTCCCCAGTCCCACAACACACATATTGTACACTTAAGGTAGTGTGATTCATTTTTAGGTTTACATGCTGGGTAGTTTCTGCAGAGGATGTTCAGCGCAACGCTAAAGCTTTGGCTACTGTAACTTGCTGAGGCACTTGATGTAATTTCTTATTCTTGAGAAAACTCTCTGACAGTTTGCAATTACTATTAGCAGCCTCAAAGTTGGTGTTTGGGATAAGAAACTTCTGAGCTTTCACACATGCCCACCCTCTACGCCCTTCCCAGTCTTCCCACACAAACCATATGAGCAATCATATAAATTTTTCACTTGGTATGATTAAGGTTGCACTGGAACAAAATGCCAAAGTACACCTGGGTTTAAAAAGGGAAAGTAGGCTAACAGTTTTTTATCCATACTCTCCTCCTGCTTTGTGCTCTTTAATCCTGCAATTTACTAAAAATTGCTTTTAAATTAGTATTTTTCTAGTGTATTCTCTGTTCCCAGATGCTGGGGCTCCTATAAATGTGCATACCAATTGACTAGTTCCTTTATTATCACATTGCATTTATATTCTTTAAATATCCAGGAAGGTGTCTAAGTTAGCCTCTGTGGAGAACCTTCAACGGGATACATGGAATATAAGAGGAATATGCAGTTGTCATCTTATGAGGCTGTGCACTTTATTTGTCTTGCTGCCATTAGAAACATCAACTTTGAAATCAGAATTAATTTATAGTGACTTCTGGCAAGCATGTTTGCGTCCATTAGGAATGGTTTGCTGCATATTTGATGGATGCTGTGCTGTCTTCAGACTCTCACTTGTAAATGTTCAAAATTGAAATCAAATATCAATTTTTGTGTCTACTGATGTCAACATAATGTAGAGTGGAACTATGTTTTCTGGTTGACTTTACCAATGCTGACTAGTTCTCTTGAATCTTGTCTGGTCTAGTGGTATCTTCTTCAGTATAGCCTCTTCCATTTTCCTGTAAGAGAACTTGATAACATAGGGAAGTAACTTGCATTAGTACCAAGTTATTTTCTTATGTGGGTTATATGTTAGATTACTGTCATTTGAGACCAGTTAATGCAAAATACTGTCCTTTCTCATGAAAGTAGTAAAGATTTTTTTTTTTTTTTTAGTGAAGACATAGAATCATAGAATGGCTTGGGTTGGAAGGACTTTGAAGATCATCTAGTTCCAATCCCTCCTTCCCTACCGCTGCCCCTGGGCAGGGATGGATGTCACTGTTCAGCGTGTGATGTGCTGTTCTTAGTGGTCTTGCTAATTTCACTAAGCTACATTGTCTTCTCAACTGTTCTTTCTGTCCAGTTGAAAAGGCCATCATGTAAAAAGCACTGTTACTTTGGTGACATTACATATTTGACTTTATGTAATTACTTCATTAAACTATTACTTAAGTTATGACTATATTTGAAATTATGTTTCCTCCAGTTTAGTGTGATGTTGACTATCTTTAAAAATGTTTTGCTTGAATGGGAATCTCTTTTCTTTCTCTTTTAATTTCCTTTTTCACTAGATTACTGTTTACAAAAGTCAAATTGGAGTCTCTGTGCAGAGGCCCAGATGAAGCACTCCTAACGTGTAAACACATGCTCCAGATTTGGAAATCCTGCTACAATCTCACTAACCCAAGGTAAGATGCTGTAGAATTCTAGGCTGCTCGCTACCCTGCTCAGCAGGGCAATATTAGGTTAGCAGTCCTGCATTTGCTTGGTCTGGCATTTCATATGAACAAACTAATCCTCTGAGAATCTGGGGGATGAAGTGCAAAGACATCAGTTGATGGTCATGTAGAAGTACCCAGGGTTCTATGAAGTAAGGTATGCCAAAGCTAGTAAATTCTGCAGAGGTGAGCACTGCTTAGAGAGATTGGGTAACTCATCCATTCTCAATGTACTTGTATGGTCTTGGTTTTTTTCCCGATTTGGAGTTTTAGAGTCTTTTATACTGGTAAGTGGAGAGATTGCTGTAGTGGAAATATAGTTCAAGAATTTTCATTAAATAATATGAAAGAGGACTAGACATTAATTAAAACTAAAACATCAGAGGTCATATGGATATGATATGCTTGCAAAGTTAGCATGGCTTTTTTTTTTAAAGGAGGTCTTGCTTATGAACCTATTTAGGTCTTCAAAGGCATTACCAATAGATAAGTTGTTATAGTCCTGTTTGGGTTTCCAAAATGTTTTTGTGGAGGTCCTTTGCCATATATATTTAGCAAGCTGTGAAATAAATGGAAAGGCCACTTAGCAGAAATCCATGCTGGTACTATTCAACATGTTTATCGAGTACCTGAAGAAGAGGACAGGCAGAATTTTCTGCTATTTGGTTGTTTGAAGGGTTGACAGTTTCTGAAGAAGAGATGCTACAGCAGAAGAACTTTGTACCAGGTGGCATCAGATACCTGTGTAGCAGTATGATGAACATTGGCTGTTAGAGTTTTTCCTCTAAATTGATCTCAGTTATGTAAATACATGAAACTCTTTAAGAAGATTGAGAGAGCTGACCTAATGGCTGAAGAGGGACAATTGCTTCTCTCCTTAATGAGCTAGTGAGCAGTTGGGAGCAGGAAAGTTTGGAAGGTGTGGCAGGAAAAGCCTGGGAAGGGATTCGAGTCACTCGGAACACACTGAGAGAGACCGATACTGCCTTGTGGAACAGGGAGCATCCCTCAGGGTACAGAAAGCAAGTATGTCAGCAACCAGGAAGGTTTGAGCTCAGTCGGTTTCAAGTCAAAGTCACTGAACGAGCAGCAGGGACCCGGGAGAAAATTTTTCTTTTACCTTGGTGGGTGGTGGTTTATTTTAGTTAGCTGGTTGTGTGTGTGGGCAGTGGGGGTTAAGAGTTTAGTATCGGAGTGCTGTGCTTTGCAGAATAGTTAAAATTTCTGTGTAATTTCAGAGAGGCTTTGCATGTACTCTGGCACAACTTTTCACCTTCCTTCTCTGCTGTGACATCTTCTACAGAGATCAGGGCTCTAATCATAGCTTGTCATTACTTTGTAGTTGTTGTTGTCTTTGTGCTAAGAGCTACTGTGCCATGTTAAACACACTTTTAATGCCTCCTTCAGACATCAGCAGTGACTGTGAAAATTTACTCTTGGCTGTGTCAGCTTCAAACAGCAGTGGTTGCTAATTCTCATTACCATTCTTCAAGAACATCTAAGTGGAAAAATTAACAAGAACTACTTTGCATCTGATAGTTTTTCTACTTTTTTTTATCTTAACATTTAAATCTTTTCTTGAAGCTCTGGTGATGCGTTAAAATCAAGTTAGGAATGGAATGGACAGGAACTGTGGATAAGTGTCATGATGGAAGGAGACGGGTTTTCTAAATGACACATTCAGAGTTATATCAAACAGTGAATAAAGATACCGAATTGTAATCTTTCTTTGGCTCATCTGTGTGAAATTTAAGGGCTGAATAACTTCCTATGGTATTACAGTGATCCAGATTGGTCGGACTGGGATAACAATTCTCACTGAGATCTGAAATGTGACTGAGCAGTTCTGTTCACCCGACTGCACTCCTGATATACCGAAGAGTGATGATGCAGGATTGTTGTGAAAAGTTAAATTTTCCAAATTCTGCAATTTTAACATGCACTTCATTTTGCTGCAAAGCACCATTTGAAAATGTCTCCCACTGGAAATAATTGAATTTTTTTTAATAGTTCTTTAAGCCAATAATAAAAAGTCTTTTAATAACTTTAAACCTTTTTGGAATGTTGTTTGTCAAAGATTTAAATATCCTTTATGGTTATTTGAAGTATCTTCTTCTATTCTGATTTGGACTGAAAACTAATTTTGATGTCTCATTTTCCCAATGAGATAAGAAGTCACTTTTTTGATAAGCTGTGGTTTACATTAAATATTTCTTCTTCAATTCATCTGATTTTGTGCAATAAACTTGGGTTCAATGCCCTCAATAATATTTCAATAATAGAAATAAATTACAAATAACTAGATGTACCACACAAAGTGAGGGCCAAATGCCACAGTGTGCCTAAGATTTAGAACATTTTTTATTTTGTCTTCAGTTGACATACAAATTTTTTTCTCATGAGATGCTTAATATGAATTTAAAACTTACTTTGTGTTGCAAGGCTTGGAAGGTTTAAATGTGTACCTCCAGCCTGCTACTTGAAGTGCATTAGAAAATATCCGAGTATTTTTCCATTTCTTATTTTACATTAGGAAAACACAACAAACCACAATGACAGAGCTGGTCTTAGAAGATACTTAGGCTAAGTGTGACTTTCCTCATCAGCAACAATGTGGCACGTTGCTGCTTGTGGATTGAAGACAGCAATTACCAGAAAATTTATACCAGTTGATGTAACAACTACAGATGATAGTGTGTGTCCCAGAAAGTTCCCTTCTGTTTCATGTGGATTGCTATAATAATGTAATTTTGTAAGGAAATATTGCAGTACTGTTAGGTAATACAAAATTGTATTTATACCATTTAATAACAGCGGTAGAAAGAGGGGATGTTGTTTCACTGACTTTTGAAGTGTGCTACTCTAAGGACTTATTGAGGGGCTTCTTGACCTCTCAGTTCAAATTTGTAAGGAGGGTGTTGTTAAATTAAGGCAGATGAAGAGATGTGCTGAATTCCAGTCTTGCAGTTTAGATTAAAGTTTCTCAGGCTTTACTTTAAACTAGGAGTTTTGTACAGGTTTTTCTCTTCAGTGAGAATCAGACAAAAGTTTGCACTCTGCAAAGCTGGGCTAACAGTTCAGTTGCTTTAAAGCTTAATTAATGTTTGTGGGGTGCTTTGTTCTCTATTTTTTTTAATGAGACTTTTAAAAAGATATTCATTGATAGTGAGTAGTACCAGACTTACAATCCTAAAAATGAAATTACTTTATTAAGCATAGAATATTAAAGAAGGAATGCCCATATGTGCTTCCTCACACTTTGCTGACAACGTGTCTCAGTACTCGCCTCATCTTGAGGAGAAAGAGCACTTAGTTCTTCAGTCCCTGTTCTTCTGCTGAATCTTTAATAGTAGTTCTAGGAGCTATTAGTTTTCCAGCAAGCATATTAACAAGAAACCTGAGGAGCAGATACTGAGTTACAGCTAATATAGAGATTAAGTGCATTTGTCCACAGGTGCAATGAGTGAAAATCACTGCTACTGCATAAGCTGTTAGATGTTAGAAGTGTTCAAAATGTTCCTACTATGCTGTTAGAATCAAATTCAACATTAGGCAGTTAATATGCAAATGTGCCTATATTAAAAAAAAAAATCAAAAAACAAGCAGCCCGCCCCACAACTCTGGAGATAATTGTGATGCTTTTTTATGTGAAGTGAAGTTATGGCATCTTTATAACATCTTTACCAAAAATTAGATGTCCTGAGTTTAGTGTTTCTCTTCAATCTGAGAGAAGTATGGATTTTCAAACTTACATCTGCCTTCTCGGCTTTCTGTGATAGCTGTACTTCATATTATATAAATATTTAAGGCACAGTAGATCCTTTCTGTAGAGGTGTTAGTCATGAACCAAATTAAAAACCATTATTTCCTTTGTGGTTGTATTAATTATGAAAACAGAATTGCTGAAGTAAATACGGGTTTAGTTTTGCTCAGTTTGATTCTATTTCAATGCAAGTGGCTTAATGCACTGTGAGTGGTTAGTGGTGCTTGGTACTAAATTTGGTCATAGCCAGAACTTTTATAGCAAGAACCTTTGTGGGAGTAGGGCAGCATGCAACTTGTATATCGGTATAAAATTTTATATTTTAATAGCTCACAATTTCTGTATTTCACTGCAGTGACTCCGGCCGTGGGAGCAGCCTGTTAGACAGAGCTATTGCTGACAGACGACAGCTTAATACAATTACATTACCAGATTTCAGTGATCCTGAAACAGGTAAGAGCTACATTTGAACAATGAAATAGGTAAAATGGTATGGCCATAGCTAGATTTTGCATTAGTTTTTTTAGTTTATTTTGCAAAATGAAGTTATATCTTCACTGTTATGTAAGTAGAAATAGACATCGTGTGATATATGATTTTTTCTTTTTTTATTTATGAAGTATTTGCTGACCACATTCTCTGTAAATATCTGTAGTATGGAACTTGCTGAGCTTAGTTGTATTTTGTTACACAAGGGCTAAAAACTAGTATTCTGAACTAGCCTATTTGCCAAAGTCCTGTGCTTTTCAGTCTGTTCGGTACTTGCACATTTTTGTTTAAAAGGTAAATCAAAAAAATTTCAGAAGTTTTAATCTCAAAAAAATTGAAGACATTGTTGCTAATTAAATGGATTAAAATCTATGTTAAAATATAATTACATGAGTGGATAGGCTTACTGTAGACATGGTTGACATTATAAGCAAAATTTATTTGTTATAAATTGTATATACTGTATTATTTTTATATACATATAAAAATTGTAGTACACAGGTGCACTACATAAAAATTAAGATTGTTACATGTCAGTAAATACTGACAATATGTCATTTCCTATATTAATATATTCAGTTATCATAATGCAAACTAATATACCTTAAAAGTTATACAATCAGAAAGCATATGAGACGTGCATTCTGTGAAGATTGCAGAAGGAATTGTGTAACTTTTACGGTATCTTGCTTGTGTTCTAAATTTTGAGAGTTTTCTCTTTTCTGGGTTTTATATGAAAACCATAGCATGTTTTTCCTGACACCTTTCAGGGGTGTATTTCTGTTTAATCACACTTTGACACAAACAGCTTATAGAAAAGTTTGCCAAACTATGAATATGAGTACCTTTGACCCACAAGTTAAGATACATTGAAATGTGTAATGTGTATCTTTGTTTAGTATCAGAATTGTGCATTACATAAAAATCCAATTTAGATATTTAGCTTCTGAAAGTTAAAATTGGATTGAATGATCACTCAGTTTTGAATTTAAAATAAAGTAAAAGTGTTCTGTGCTTGCTATAGTGCAAACAGTTATGATTACAAAGATCAGGTCACCTGATATCAAAGAATTGCCATATGTTATGGCATAATGTAGCTTGGTGCCCCTAATGTGGAATTTTATGTCTCCTTCTATTTGTGTAGTTAAAATGGGGAAGATGACATTATATCATTCTGTGGTGATCATTCTATATTCTAGTCTAGCTCATTGTTTCATTTTTAAGAACATATCTAGATTTTATAGGTTTCATTTACATATATAGATAGACATAGCTATAGATAAAATTTTATGCCTTAAAAAAAGTGCTTTTTGGGGAGGGGTGTTGTAAAAGGGCTTTTTGTGGTTAGTTGTGATTTTTTGTTTGTTATTTTTCCAGTGGGGACATACAGCTTTTGATCTACACCCCCAGGGTGTACTATTTTACATCTGCCACACTTGAGAGCATAGTGAATTGGTGCATTTTAAAGAGTGCAGATTCCTCAATGCTTTTAAGTAAAGATGAACCCTCATCCAAAATGGGGAACTTTTCAAGAAACTTGCCCCAGATTCAAGTCCTGCAGACAATATCTTGACTGGAAAACAGGATCTCTGCATACATTCTGATTTTTCTGGCAGGTCCAAATTGTCTTTTTTCTGAATCTCACCTGTGTTGCTAGAATTTCACTGTCAAGGAGAACAAGATGGGAAATTAAAATTATGGGGTCCCTTTTTGATTATTTATCTTATAAAAGGTAATTGTGAAGGATGGGGGGGGCCTTTTTTTTTTTTTTAAATTGAGAGTTGGAGTTGGTTTTGTTTGTTGGTGGGTTTTTTCAGTTGTTCATTTTAGCAGAAGAAGCCTTGTTGCAATACCAATACTCTGGTTTATTGCAATACCAGTTTCTGGCAAGGACTAGAGCTCTGTTATGTACTCTCTCAATATATATAAAAAAACTTCACATCCAGGATTTGTCCAGAATTTTTCTTCCAGAATATTATATAAAAATTTTGCAGGAATTAAAAGGTTATATATAAGAATGAAAGAAGTGAAGCTTGTCATAGTGTTCAAGAAAGCTTAAGCAGACTGTGAGTAACATATTGTTCACAATAGGTAGATGATAAAAACAATAGGTGATCAGGATGTTAGACCTTTATAGGGTTGAAAGAGCTTATCTGCAACCTCTGTGGATCCACAGTGGTTAGAAATGCAGAAGGAATTTGACAAATAAATAAACGAATGTTAAAATGCAAGAAAGTTATTGCTGAAAATCCTCTTGGAATGAAAATGTTTGCTCCCTTCCTTGTTACACAGTGTAGTGCTACTTTGTGTATATGTGCGTATGCACACAAATTTAGAAGTTTTCCCCTTCCTAACTTTGCTTGTCATCTGTGATGATGATACCATTTGCCTGTCTAGCCCTGAATTCAGTCAATCTAAATACCAAGAAATGAGAGATAAAATTCAAATCTGAACTGTTATGTACTTGAAATTTAATTTTTAAAATCCTTCAAAAAATCTAGGTTTGATGGGTGTAAATTCTTTTTTTTAGGTGTATCAATTAAGCAGAAGTTGACATCTAAAAAAAAAAGTTATTAAAAAACTGCTTTATATAGAGGTCTTACCAATACCATAATGATTAAGTGATTTAAGTTTAAATTTGTGTAGCCCTTGAATATCAAAAGAGTGTATTGTGAGTTTCTTACAAGGCAAGACTGTTGATTCTAGTGCTCTGGTCAATAACTGTGCCAAATTTACTTTAAGTTTGCCCTCTGTTTCAGCTGACTTGCTGTGAGTGGCATGCACCTATGTTTGTATATGTTGATGAAGGAAATAAATATGGGGGGGGGGCAAAAAAAGGGTTTCGATGAATCAATCACTGAAGTAAAATCTCATAGGGAGACAGACACATTTCATATCCAAAAGTAGATATGTGTATGGAAATCACCAGAGACTCATTGGCTATTTGGTTAAGAGAAGTTGCATTCAGTCTTTTAAAAAACAGAGGATTCAATTTGGTTGGAGTCCACTGAGTTTATTATAGGAAGAAACAATATTACTTTAGACTTTGGTCTTTATTTCCCCTTTAATTTATTTTTAAAATTTATGCATTAGAACATAGTGAAAAAAAAATCTTTATTTTACTTTTGTACTCTAGTTTAGTATGGAAGGAGAGTACATATAAGTAAAGGGGTATTTTTCATTGCTGTTGCTCTCAGAAGTGATATTTATTTTATGTAGAAACCATTTCCATCTTGCTGAATTGTGACACAAATGCTTTGCATTTTTGGCATCTATTAGTCCATTAAACCCTGTTGAATCTTTTTTCTTTCCTGCCCTCCCCACACCCCTTTATCATTCTCTTTGTTTCGCTTTTTAGCCTCTGATACTTCCTCATCTTCTCTCTCAAGAACAGAGTCTCCTCTCCAACTGTTTGTATCTTCTCATCTTCCTCATCCTCATCCTAAACCAGATATCTTTATCTGGCCCCATGCAGCCTCTCCATACTGTGACCAAGTTCCTGAGCCCTGTACACCTACTCGCTGTAAATTGGCTTTCTATTCCTGATGGGCATGTTTGTGCTGTATTTTTCTGATAATCTTCACAACTGATAAACTGTGTTTAAATAGATTATGTTTCAACAGAATGTCAATGAAATCCAGCCTTTCAGCTGCTTTTCGTACAAACTTTACAGCAATGCTACTAGAGTAGTTCAGGTGGCAGGTTAAAATCAACATAGGTTTTCAGGCATTTCTTCTTAACTTCTTTTAACTTCTGTTAAATTGTCCTTCACTGATACCTTTATAAATAGCACTTTTTTGTCACTGAATTTACTGTAATCCAATCTTAAGAATTTGTTTTGACACCTAGTCTTTAAACTGATGTCATATCAAAGGTATTAATTCCTAACAAAACATAGAAAATAAATCTTTGCATATTAGCAAAATTTACTTGTTAAAATAGCTGACATAAGACCAGAGTTTTGAAAACACTAGCTCGCTCATATGCAAACCTGTAACTGGAAGTTAAGGAAAGCACTTCCTTCAGACTCGAGGAAATCCATGTCCTACAGAAGTGAAGTCTGACTTTCTTGAAGTATTTGAATCCTGATTGGCTTCTGTTGCAGGTTTGGGCATCGTTGAGTTGAAGTTGCTCAGAGCTACTCTATATATAAACAGTACATCCCAGTTAGCATTAATTGGCTTGTTCTTGTTCTTTCAAAACTACAAGTTAACAAGAACCTACTTAAGAATGAAGGCAAACTGAAAGAACACTGAAACCAAAGCACAGATTCGATTATGTGAAGCCCAGATTTTCCACTTCCAAGCTACTGTATCCTCAGGGAAAGGAGCTTCCACCATGTGCATGAGAAGTAGCAGAACTACGAAAAAAAAAAAAAGATATTGGAGTCCTTTGTATAGTGTCAAAAATTATTGAAAGTTAAAGCTGTCTGAGTAAGGAACGGTTTCCCTAGATGCTTATAGTATATTAGTATAGTTTCCAGGGCTGAAAAATCTTATGTTCTTTATCTTGCTCAATTCTTTTTTTTTTCCCTAGTGAAAGAAGCCTAAGGCATTTTCTATCATCAGCTTGACTTCTGTTGAACAGGAACATGACTTTAGAGGTGTAGCATCTTACCTAATTTTTTATTTCTTGAAATTCTGTAAACCTGATTTACAGTTTGAAGATTATCAGAAATCCTCTGGCTTTCTTGGAGTTTTTGGCTTATATATACATATAACATTTTTTTTCTTCTTACTTTGTGTTTTAATTTGTGGTTTGATCTGTCCAAAGGCAATCCATCAGATGCTTACTTTCATGGTTTTTACTCCCTTTTTTCAGTTTGTAAGTAGTATTCACTGTGCATTTCTATTAATTTCTCAAGGACTAAAATCACCTTTTCCTTTACCACAAAACGTACATGTTTTGTCCATCAGTAGTGGAAGCTTTGATAGTGTGTAAAACAAGGCTGATGCTCTTTGCCC